CTTAGGGAAATGCTCCTGGCCTCTCCTCTGACATGATGGGGTGATTGGGATAGGTAGAACTGAGGTGTGGAAATGGGGAGTCCTGACTTGCCGTTGAACCTGGGAGAAATCACCACAGATGTGGGGATGAAAGGCCGCTCAGAGTCTGCCTTGGGAAGACGACTGGGTGCCCATCTGAGTGAAGGTGCTGCATCAGAGGCCCCCCAAGGGTCTGTGCTGAGAACTGGGGGGTCTTCTATGAATCTGGAGAGTGACCTGGATTCTGAGGCAGGGCCTAGGGCAGGCAGATTGCTGAAGAGGAGCCTGGTGTAGCGGGGCGGGGTCAGCATGAGGCGAGGGTGCTGGAGGAGTCAGTGAAAAGGGGGTGTGAGGCTGAAGGAGCCCTCCTTGATTCAGCGCTTCTACACCCCGATTCCTGAGAGCTCAGTCTTTCCTCCTGGCCTTCTGCCCACCAGCTGCCACAGCGCGAGGGAGGAATCTGCTTTGCATTATCAGAGGAGCCGCGTCCCCCAGGCATATGGTCAGCAGACCCCCCAGCCAGGAGCCTCATGGGAAATGTCTTCTCCTGACCCCAGCTCTGGCCCAGTCCCTTCTTTCCTTAGAGTAGGGGTGTCGAACTCAATCAGAGAAGGGGCCAAAATCTAAAATCCAGCCTAACTCGCGGGCCGAATGGTTTACTGAACAGTCATAAACTGTCATTGTGATGGAAACGCAGTGGAGTGCAGTGATGACAGCGCGGTGCGGGCCACATTGCAAGGCCTGGCGGGACGGATTTGGCCCGAGGGCCTTGTGTTTGACACGTGTGCCTTAGAGCATGGGGCTCTAAGCTCAGTGGCCCCCATCACCACACCCCTCCCAGCGGATCGAGAGACTTTCACATTGCTCCAAGTCCCATCTGGGCTCACTGATCTGGAGGAAAGAGGGGAGGGAGGCACTAGGGGAAGAGAAGAGGCTCTGATAGGCCAGCCAAGACAAAAGGTCTCACCCTCTCGCCTAGAAAATGAAAGACAAAGAGATGTTCCTCCAACCTGGACGAAGAAGAGAGGCCTTAGGGATGGCGGGCAGGGTGGGACGGGAGAACTGCAGGCCTCAGGCCCGAGGAGATTGATGACACAGGAAGAAGCAAGGGAGCACCTGTCGGTCCTCTGAGCCCACATCTGGTCAAGTTCACAGCTGGTTGGACTCAGAATGAAGCTCTGGAGTAGTCACATGTGGCTCCTGAGCACTGGCAATGGGCTAGCCCAGTGGTCGGCAAACTGCGGCTCACGAGCCACATGCGGCTCTTTGGCCCCTTGAGAGTGGCTCTTCCACAAAACACCACGGCCTGGGCGAGTCTATTTTGAAGAAGTGGCGTTAGAAGAAGTTTAAGCTTAAAAAATTTGGCTCTCAAAAGAAATTTCAATCGTTGTCCTGTTGATATTTGGCTCTGTTGACTACTGGGCTTTTTAGCCCAGTTTGCCAAGCACGGGGCTAGCCCAACTGAGATGTGCTGTAAGAACAGAATACATACTGAATTTTGAAAGCTTAGTAGGAAAAAAGTAATGCATTTCATTGATCATCCTACCTAATAAAGAGGGAATATGCACATTGACTGTCACACCATCACAAAGATGGTGGTACCCATAGCCACAAGATGGAGATGCCCAGTTCCCTCAGCCCAGTCAGGAGGGGGGGAGGGGCAGGCACACGGTGCAGCCTGAAGCTCAGGTAACCAGGGCCAGCCGAGGTTTGTGCTGCCAGCGGTGGCAGCAGCAGAGGTGTGATGAGGCGTCGCATTCCCCTGACTGAGGGGTCACCTTCCGCCCCTGAGGGCTCCCGGACTGTGAGAGGGGGCAGGCCGGGCTGAGGGACCCCCCACTCCAGTGCAGGAATTTTCATGCACTGGGCCTCTAGTTTTAAAATATTGATTACACCGAAACCATTTGGCTCAGTGGATAGAGTCAGTGGAAAGGTCCCAGGTTCGATTCGGGTCAAGGGCATGTACCTTGGTTGCAGGCACATTCCCGGTAGGGGGTGTGCAGGAGGCAGCTGGTCGATGTTTCTAGCTCTCTATCCCTCTCTCTTTCTCTCTGTAAAAAATCAATAAAATATATTTTTTTAAAAATATTGATTACATATTGAAATAATGCTTTGGGCATATTGTGCTAAATAACAATGCGTTATGTTCCTCTCATCTGCTTCCTTTTTTATAATGTGGCTACTAAGAAAACGAGAATCCATATGCCACTTGCACTCTGTTTCTGTCAGACAGGGCTGCTTCACTCGGAGCACGCCATTCATTCGGCCAGCAAGGTTTTATTGGGTGCTAGCTCTGTGCCAGGCGAGGTGCTGGGGATTAGAGAGTGAGCGAAACCAGACCCTGTCTCTGGCCTCCTGGGGTTTACAGTAATCAAATAATCACTCGGACGGGCGCCTAATTGCAGAGAGACAAGTGCTCTGCGAGGAAAGGCGTGGAGCGCAGTGCTCTCTGAACCCGGGACCAGGAAGGCTGCATGGGGCCAGGGCATGGCGAGAGCTTCCCAACGAAGCGCGGACGGGGGGGTAACCTGGAAAAGAAGGGGACAGAGTGTCCCGGACAGAAAGCACAGCTTGTGCTCACACCATGGCCAGAGGGATCGTCGGAGCTGGAAGAGGCATACGATGGCCTTCGGGGGAGCACAGAGTGAGCGAGAGGGTGGCCGGCGCATTGGCAGGGGCCTCACGCAGCCCTTGGAGGCCACGTTAAAGGGAGCTCCTTCCCTAGCCGGTTTGGTTCAGTGGATAGAGCATCAGCCTGTGGACTGAAGGTCCCGGGTTCGATTCTGTTCAGGGGCACATGTGTGGGTGGCAGCCTCAATCCCCAGTGGCGGGGGGAGGGACATGCAGGAGGCAGCCAATCAATGATTCACTCTCATCATTGGTGTTTCTACCTCTCTCTCCCTCTCCCTTCCTCTGAAATCAATAAAAATACACTTTTTTTTTTTTTAATGGGATGCTCCTGAAGCATTTCCATTAGCCCTCCTGGGGGAATGGGAGAAAAGGGGGTGCAGGTGAGGCTGAAGGAGGGCAGACATGGCTTCTCTACAGTTTAGTGTGTTGGGGGGGAAGAGGGAGAAATATCTGGTGCCATGTCTTTAAGGCTCTCTGCCACCCAACCCCCAGGAGCCCTACCCCACACCCAACCCTGTGTGCTCTGAGGGACTTCTCAGAATGCCCTCACCCCCCCCCCCCGGGCCGCACCCCAGCCTATCCTGCTGCACCTCCCCCTGCACCCAGCAGCCAGAGCTAGTGCTTTCTAAACGGCAAGCTGTTGCCCGGCCAGTGTTGCTCAGTGGTTGGCATCGACTTATGAACCAGGAGGTCGGGTTCAATTCCCAGTCAGGCACATGCCCGGGTTGTAGCTCGGTCCCAGTAGGAGGCCTGCTGGAGGCAGCCAATCCATGATTCTCTCTCATTGTTGATAGTTCTCTCTCCCCCTCTCCCTTCCTCTCTGAAATATGTTCTTTAAATAAGAATAATAAACTGCAAGCTGTCTAGGGAGCCCCTGCTGAAGGCCCTTGGCGGCCCCACAGTGCCCTCAGGATGCAGTCCAGACGCCGTAGCATCTCTCGGTGAGGCCTGCTCCGCCCGCCCCGGACCTCCGCTCCGTGGGCTCCAGCACAGCCTCCCGGCCCCCAGTGCTCTCTGCTGCCTCTTCGGGCCTTTGCTGAGCTGCTTCCTCTGCCGGGAACACTGTCCTCCCCCAGCTCACTGATCCACCCAGCCCTAAGGACGCAGCTTCAACGTCCCTTTTCTAACGGACCATCCCTCACCCCTGGCAGGGGCGGGTCTGGGCCGGGACCTCCCACTCACCCCTGGCAGGCGCTGCACACCATTCAGGGCCTGTCTGCTGTGCCCCCAGGAGAATGCGAGGTCGCGGAGGGCGGGGACCTGTGTCTCCCTGTTCACGCAGCAGCAGCATCGGGCTGTCCTTCGCCAGGTGCGGTGTGTTTCCCCATCAGCACGGTCGGAGGCTCCCTTAGGGCGGGAATGGTGCCTCCCTCATCCGACTAGAATGTCCTCAAGCCTGGGACTGCGTCTCCCCATCAGACGGGAGGTTCACTCAAGACGGAGACCATCTCCCCAGCACACTGCACACTGGGTGTTACCCTGGTACCGGGGTCATTTCTCCCACCGATGGCACCCCCTGCACTCCTTCCTCTCAGGCTGGGGTGGGAGATAGAAGACAGCCGCCCCTCCAACGCATGCCTCTCTCTTGGCTGGGCCCCGGCTGACCCCTCCCGGGAATCTGAGATCCGGAAGGCTGTTTTCCCTTCCAGGAAGAGCAAGCCCCCCGTGCTTTTCCCAACAAGCACGAGCCAGCCCCGTCAGAGGACCTGCAGGGGCTGAGCAACTCTGACCTGGCCGCCCTGGAGAGGGGAATGGGCCTGGGGCCCGGAGCCCTGCAGCTCAGGGAGCTCCCAGGCCGGGCCAAGCAGGCTCAAGGCCAGGCTGGCAGGAGCCAGAGCTGGGACCTGCCTGGGAGAGCCAGCCACAAGGGAGGGCCTGCCCAGCTCCAGGCCGGGTCAGCCAGGCTTCCTCCCGGCCATCTGGAACCAGAGCCTGTGCATGTGTTTGGAGGGGGCGGGGGAGTGTCCCCCGGGCCACGTGGGTGGCTGGGAGCCGCGGGCTGTGCTCTGGCCCTTCCTCTGGCTCCCCTGTGGTCACTTTCACTTCTGACATCTGGCCCAGTTCGCAGCTGGCCGGCTTCCTGCGCGGCCACGTTCACGTTCCCACTCCCAGATCGGGGACGGAGGGCTCCCCCTCCTTCCCTGCCCCTCGGAAATTAACTCCCTGGCTACTGCGCGTGTGAACTGGCTGGGTTTCTGTTAAAACTTCCCCCGGTGCTGTGCGTACAGGGGGAAGACGGGCAGAGGCACGGACGGGAACGGAGTTGGAAACGGCACCTGGGTCCTTGGGACACAGCCAACCTCTGCCAGCTTGCAACACGTGCGTCCCCAGAAAGTCACCGCACCGAGCTCCTTTCTTTGCTATTTAATGTTCATCGTTTATGTTTTATGTGTAAGTTTCAGGAGGGCCCGAGAAGTGGTTACACAGGATGCAAGGGGGAGGGGGAGGGGGGTCTGGAGCTCACAGCCCCCGGCTGGGGGGGGGGGGGCCCAAGGGCTTCCATCTCCGCCCAGAGGGAGCGGGGAGGGGCCCCGGAACCACACACATGCTAAACCACACCTGCCTCCCCTCAACCCCTCCCGGCTGCTGGGGAGGAAATAAATACGCTCCCGCTCTGCCCCAGCCCCCGTGCACGGCGAGGGGCCCGCGGTGTGTCCTCCTCCCAGCACAGCCCGAGGGCCAAGGAACGCCGTCCACAGACCACGCTCCCGTCCCCGGCCGGGGGGAGGAGGGGAGGACCCTGGGCGGGGGAGGGGGTGGCTGTCAGTGCACCCCTCTGCTCGGGGCTCCTTCATGCTAAATAGAGGGGGGAACCATTCATTCCAAACATCAAGCAAAAACAGAACAGGCCAGGAGGGGCCTCCGGGCCCCTTCCTGGCACCAAGCGAGGGAAAGAGCTGTCCTTTGCAGAGTCCTCGAGACATTGGACAGACCGTCCAGGGCCCACAGTTTAACTCCGCTCCTTCTTGCTGCATTCCCAGGCTGGTCCAATTGTCTTCGAGCAACCTTCATGGCCCAGCCAAACCCGGGGGGGGGGGGGCAGCATTCCTCCATGTGGGGGCCCGTGGAAGGCAGGCAGGCGCCAGCTCCAGCCTCCGCCGTCCTTGGCCCGCCAAACCCGGGGGCGAGGGGAGACGGCCGAGCAGAGTTCAATTCCCTGTGATGCTTCTCTGGCAGCTGCCCCGGGCAGGATCGGTCCCAGCCCCCGAGAAAGAACTCCCGGAGAAAAGAGTTCTCATCCGCTGTGTGTGTGCGTGTGTGTGCGTGTGTGGGTGTGTGTGTGTGTGTGTGTGTGTGTGTGTGTGTGTGGGTGTGTGTGTGTGTGTGTGTGGTATGTGGGGGGTCCTTAGCCCCTCGCCCTGAGCACGGCCTGTGCTGGCTCTGGGTCTGTGCCGGGATGGAAGGCACCTGTAGGCCGGGCCACACCCCAGATGCCACGCTGACATGCCTGAGGGGGGCAAGAAGGGGGACGGGGCCCCCCTTTCCCCAAACCCCACGCTGACTTGGGTTAGGATGGGTCCGTGGACCAAAGCTTGGGTAAAGCGTCCTGTCTCCCTCAGGATGGAACAGGCCTGGAGACGGTGGAGGGAGGGAGGACCGGGTTTGGCTGCACAACGCTCCCCGGAGGGTCACCTGGCCGCCCTCTCCCAGCCTGTAAGCAGAGCTGAGGCTCGTCCCCCGCCCCTCATTCAGAGGAGGAGGCCAGCTCACCCGCGGCCGCCCCGTTGCTGGGTGGCTGTGGGCCAGCCCAAAGCATTTTCATGGTAGCAGGGAGGGTGGGACTGCATGTCAGTCCCCGCTTCCCGCTCCGACAGGCCCTCGATCCTCTTCATCTTTGGCCAGAGGGGGGTGTGAGGGGCGGAGGGAGGGTGTAGGATGCTCCCTCTTTCCCCAAGTTCACAGTGTAGAGTCCATGGCTCTGGGTCCTCAGTCTCTGAGTCTCTGGGGGCCTGGTCATCACCCCAGCATCACCCCTGGTGTCAGCACCCCCAGCTCTGACACCTGCTCCGGCGGGAGGAGCTGGCCCGCCAGGAAGTGTGGGGAGAAGGAGCAGAAGGCCGGAGGTGGTGAGGGGCGGGGGCAGGGGCAGGGTGGGCAGCAGCAGGGGCACTTCCGGCGCTGCAGAGGGGGTGCGGGAAGAAGCGGTGGGGCCACATGGGGTCACTGGCAGGGCGGTGGCTTAGGGGCCCGGGCTCCACAGCCCTGCCCAGAGGAGCTCAGCTCGGACGCTGGCCCCGGGGCTGGCTGAGCATCGGTCACCGGAAGGCGGGGCGGGGCGCACGGGGGACGCTCACACGGGGGACGTGGCGGTGGACTCGCTGCACAGGCTCTCCACGATGTCGGCTCGCTGGATGCGGCGCAGGGCGGCCAGGAGGGCGTCCAGCGTGGCGCTGTCCTGGGCGGCCCAGCTGGCGAGCAGGGCGCGGACGGGGCAGGCCTCGTGGGTGAAGGAGTCTATGTGCTCCGGCTGGTAGCCCAGCTCGTCCGCCAGGTGCCGCCAGGTGTCCCCCGCCGAGCCGTTGAGCAGCTTCTCCACCTCCTCCCGCTTGGCGGGGGGCAGGCTGCTGTAGAGGTTGCCGTCCCCCTTGAGGGCTGCCGAGACCCAGGGGAGTCAGACACCGCCCGCCAGGCCCTCGTCCCCCACGGGGGCCCCCCCGGCGCCCGGGAAAGACCCGAGAAGGGCTGAGGCAACTCTCCCCCCTCCAACCCCCACCCCCACCCCCACCCGGGGCCTACAGGCAGAGGGATGGCCAAGACGGGGTCCTGGATCGGAGGGGGAGTGGGGGGTGCAAGCTGTGGAGGTCTGGGGGATGCTCCACCCCCTCACCCCTCCTCGTCCGCCCGCAATTAATCAAGGCGGAGGAGGAGACAAGACTTCTCAGTCCCAGACTCCGCTGTGGCCAGTGTCCTGGAGCCGGGCTGTGGGCCACTAATTAGGGGACATAATTAACTGCTTGTTCCCCAGAAGTCCGGGGCAGGAGGCTAATTGCAGCCACTTGGGGGAGTCATTAGCCCTAGGGGGGACAATTAGCTTGATGAGTCTGGATGCTCCAGTTTGTCAAAGCCTCCGTTTCTCTGGGAAAAGGACCTCCCCCACCCTTTCCCTCACCCCTGCGCTCCATCCTTCCACCCAGCGGCGGTCCTTCCTGGAGTCCAAGGGCCCCTGCCCGGCCTCCTCGCTCACCCTGGCCCGCGGCCGTCTGCGTGTGGGGCTGCTGGTCGTGCAGGCTCTGGCTGTCCACGGAGATGCCGCTGTCGCTGTGCAGTTTCTCTCCCTCGGGCGGGGGCGTCTGGTTCACCGGCCGGCTGTTGGCTCCTTGCTTGTTCTGCTTGCAGCTGTTCCACCTGGAGCCAGACAGGCCCAGCCTCAGCGGGAGACGGGGGGGGGGGGGGGGGGCACCCTGGCCATGTGGCTAAGGCATCGGCTGTGTGAGCCAGGGGCACAGTGGGCACCCAACTATCACCCCCCACGGTGCCTGAGGTTCCCCTTTCTCTGCACAGCGGCCTGGCCCGCACGGAAAGCACCGTGAGGGCAGAGGGCACCCAGGGCTCGGTGCACACGGCGAGGGTTCAATAAATGTTCCTGGAATGAATGGCGCATCAATAAATGACTTCCCAGAGTTCCACCCTCCCTATCTCCTCTTGTAAAATATCGCACGTGTGTGCAGGACACATGTAGTACAGGGACTTCCTCCGCTGTTATAACCACTAAAAAAAGGCTGCAAACAAACCAAATGTCCATCAATAGGCAACTGGTTAAATGAAGTATGGCCCATCCACATTATTGAGGGAGGGGTTAGAAATGATCAGATTGCTGAAACCGGTTTGGCTCAGTGGATAGAGCGTCAGTCTGCGGACTGAAAGGTCCCGGGTTCGATTCCGGTCAAGGGCATGTACATTGGTTGCGGGCATGTCCCCGGTAGAGGGTGTGCAAGAGGCAGCTGGTTGATGTTTCTCTCTCATCAACGTTTCTAGCTCTCTATATCTCTCCCTTCCTCTCTGTAAAAAATCAATAAAATATATTTTTTTTAAAAAGAAAAGAAATGATCAGATGACCTGTGTGTCCCAAGGAAAGCTCGCCTGAGGGAGATGGGTGAAAAAGTAAGTTGTAGAATATATACCGTGTTTCCCCTAAAATAAGACATCCTCCGAAAATAAGACCTAGCGCAAGGAAAGATAAGACATCCCCTGAAAATAAGACCTAGCGCAACTTTGGGAGAAAAAATTAATATAAGACACTGTCTTATTTTCAGGGAAACAGGGTACTAGTAATATATATATATATATATATATATATATATATATATATATATATATATATACCTGCACATTTTGTCCAACTAAAACGTTTTATGCGCATGTGTTTATAAATGCACAGAAAGTAGTTGGAAGGGACTCAGACAGATTCCGATGATGAGAGGGGCAGAATTTGAGGAGATAAAAAGGAGCTTTTGCTTTTGGCTTTACGAGTCATTACTCTTGTTTGCGTTTCCCCAAACAGGCCTATATAGTCCTTTGATGTTTTGTTTCTCTTTAGGAATGGAAAATGCACTTAAATATTTAAAATGCCTCCTGGGAGCCCTGGATTTCTGGATGTGGATGTGTCGGCCTCCCTAGTGTGAGCTGGGAAGGAAGACACGCACACACGCATGCACGTGTGGGTACCCATGGGGGCCCAGTGGGGTTCAGGGAATGAGGACAGAGGCAGTTGGCAGAGCCCAGCCTTCTGTGAGCCACTCAGCTCGGGCTGAGTGAGAGAGGGGGGCGCGGGGGCGTGGGTGATGCTGACCCCAGGAGGGACAGGGACAGCCCCCTCCCTGCCCGCTGACGGTGAGTGAGGACCAGCTGGCTTTGGGGTTGGGTTAGAAGAGTGTGCGCATTTTCAGGTCAAGGTCACGGTAAAGCCCACCTGGAGAGCGAAGGTCCCTCTCTCCGCCCCTCCCCCTCACCTCTTGAAGGCGATGTAGGCCACGAGGCCCACCACCACGGCGGCCAGGATGGAGCAGTAGACGGGGATGAGGTTGTCGCTGGAGCCCCGGGTCACCACGGGCTGGGAGCTGCCCATCACCGTAGTCACCACGTCTGCCACGGTGCTGGCCACCGGGTCTTGGTCCGGAGGACCCTCGGGCTCCTGGGTGCTGGGGGCGGTGCTGTCCGAGCCCTCTGGGGGCGTGGCCCGGGTGGCCCAGCGGCTAGGGATCTCTGCGAGGGACGGCCACAGGACTGAGCGCCCATCCCCCTCAGCCCTTCCCTTCGTGAGCTGAGTCCCGAGTCCCCGGCCCACTCCAGGGCCTCGTGTGTCCCGCTCTTACCCATGTGGGTGGAGAGCAGGGGCCTGGGAGTCAGGAGACCTAGGTCCCGTCCGTTTCCCCGTCCACAGAACGGGGACATTAAGAGAGATGGTCTCTGAGCTCCCTTCCAGCCGGAGGTGGCCGAGGTTCTAGAAATCGATTCTGCCTCCCCTGGGGGCCCAGAGCCTGGCACACAGAGAGCGTCAGCCCAGGAAGTCACTCCGGGGATGTTGTAACCGCTCTGGCCGGAGGTCGCCCCAATGCCCCAGTCACCCCTGTCCTACGGAAGGATGAGGGTACTTGGGTAGTGCCCCCCACAACCCCCTCCGCAGAGCTGGCAGTCTCTGTTGTCTTAGCTCTAGGCTTGGGCAGGGCGGGGATGCCATACAAGCTTGCTGCCAGCCAGTCCTTGGGCAGCGGCTGGCCGTCTCCTCCCTGCGAGGCCCTTGCACCCTCTGATCCTGCCGCCGGGAGGAGCACCAACAGCGGGAACCCTCCCCGGCAGCAGGCAGGCTGCTGGTGGAGAGGAAAGTGGGGGCTGCCCAGCACCTCGGGGGAAGGAGGCCGTGCCCCACCACCCACCTAGGCCTTCTTGTGCCAGCTGGGGATTGCCAGCCTCTCTGGCAGGGGACCCAGGCAGCTCCTGGAGCCAGTGGCTGGGATTTTCCACTCTGTCACCGGCTGGGGGCAGTTCCCGGGGGGCGGGGGTGGGCTCTGGCCTGCCCGGGGCTGCCTGCGTGGGCATCGCCGCTTCCCCCATCCGTCTTCACCTCCCGATCCCCAGGCAGGGGGGACGCGGACGGGACGTACCGCCGGGCGGATGGGGAGGGCGTACGGGACATACGGACAGGCGGATGGGGAGGGCGTACGGGACATACGGACAGGCGGATGGGGAGGGCGGACGGGACATACTGACGGGCGGATGGGGAGGGTACGGGACATACTGACGGGCGGATGGGAAGGCGGACGGGACACACCGACGGGCGGATGGGGAAGGCACCTTGCCCTTCGGTTTGGCCTCTCCGGCTCCCAGTTTGCCCACCCAAGTTGGAGCCAGAGCTGCCCAATGGTCTGTGGGCCTCCCGGCTGCAGACTAGGTGCTTCAAAGAGCCTTGTTTTCAGCACCTTCTGAGGGGTGAGGCCCCCAGATGGGGATCTGGAACCCATTTGGCTGGCCCTGGGGAGGGGGCTGCCATCTGCTGCCCTGTTCCCCCACCTCAGGCCTGGGAGGGAGGGGGCAGAAGGGGGAGGAGACGTAGCCCTGTCTTTCATGCCCCCAAAGAGGGCATTTGAAGGGGGGCGGGGAGGGGCTCCTCTTGCCCAGCTAGGGACCTGGCAGGGCAGCCTGAGCCCTGGGAGCACCCCAACTCGGAAGCCGAAGGTGGGGCGAAGCGGACCATGGCCGAGACCGGCGCAGAGGGAAGGGCTGCGAGCGGGTGGCGAGGGACAGAGCAGGCTGAGGACAGAGCTGTCCCGGGCATCTCCCCACATTCTCCAATACCCCCTGATGGCGGGGGGATGAGATCCAGATGTGGCCCTGTCCACTGGCATTCCAGCCCCCGAGCCCTGGCAGGTCCTGACAGCCGTTTCCGGAATGGGAGCTGCCAGACTCGGGGTGGAAAGAGGGACCAGGTTATCCCTCCTAAACCCAGCTTTCCCCGAGGCAATGAGGGGGGCTCCGGCCCGAGGGAGGGTGAGTCACCGCGCTGACACCTGAAATGTATATGCGAGAAGGTACAATGCCGAGGGGAAGGGGCAACCTAACAATCAAATTCCGTTTCCTGAGGGGTCCCTCTGTCCCAGGCCCACACTTAACCCTTCCAAGGCCAGAGTAGAGGGGCAGAGGGTACACACAGCTCCCGGGGGTACCCTCCTCCTTCAGGGCGGCTGGGAAAGTGGGGTGCGATCTGGGAGGGATCTACGAATGCCCCCAAAGAGGCAGAGCCCCCCCCCCCCCCAGCCACCCCCTTTCTTTGCTGTAACCGCGCCCCTGACTAAGTGCGCCACCAGCCGGCCTGGACTTGCCCAGGGAGCTGTGCTGGCGCCTGCCTGTTGCCAGCAGCTGAACCGCCCGCCCTGCCCGCGCCTGGCGCCACTCGCCTGTCTCCTGGCCCAGGGCAATCGCCACCGGAACCACCGAGCTCTGTACCCCCATCCTTCCCCCACTCCCAGCCCAAAGCAGGAAGCTTCACACACACTGAACAGCCCCTCCGCCTGAGCCAGAGGTCATGAGGGGAGGGGGGGGTGGGGAGGTTGTGTGGGAGCCCAGGTGCAGGCTCCCCACAAGGGGGACTACCTCCCCCAAATGACTGGGGACCCCCTGAAGGCAGAGGCTGTGCTGCCGCCACCGGAATGAGGGCTTTCCTGGGAAGTGACTCCCTCATGGGACGAGGCCAAGGCTGTCTCCCCCATCACACCTGGGGTCCCCTAAGGAGGCGCTGCACTGCCTGCTGGGACTGAGGGATCCTGAGGGCCGGGGCAGTAGCTCCGTGGGCCCCCAGCCACAGGGTGATGGAGAGAAAGTAAAGCCTCCCCGCCTCTCCCTGCAGTGGAAAAGCCGCCATCTCCCCAGACACGTCACCAACCAGAGACCCAGGCCGTCTGCTCTCACTGCCACATGCGTCCTCCTCCAGCCCAGGAGCCACCCCACTCCTCCGGGCCTGGGCCTGGCTCAGGGGGCACACCCATCTCCCACCCCTCCCATCCTCCCCTGGGGCGGGCGGGCGGGGGGCTGAGGCCTCTCATCCTGGGGCTCCTGCCACGCCCCCTCCACCCTGAAGTCCCACCCCCACCGCATCCTTAGTGTCCCCGGGGCCAACTTCGTCCTCAATAAACAAAACATGCCTGCAGACCCCCTCACGCCCACCCCGATCTCACAGGTGGAAGCAGTCAGGCCACCTTCCCTAACCCACACACGGCCCAGAGCGGAGCCTGGGGTCCAGGACGGAGTGGCCTCTCTAACGAATCTCCCTCAGGGAGCAAGGGCCGGTAGATTCTATCCTAGGTCCCAGCACCACGGCCACCGGGGCCCAGACCAGCCTCCCTGCGGAGGGGCCCGGCTCCTGGGTCCTGGCGGCCCTCTTCCGGCTCAGGAAGCCGGCTCCATGCCCTGGTCACAGCGGCCACTTCCCAGCTGCTTCTCTGCCACCTGCCCCATGCCTGCTGCCGGCCTGGGAGGAGGAGGAGGAGGAGGAGGAGGAGGAGGAGGAGGAGAAGGAGGAGGAGGAGGAGGGGAGGAGAAGGAGGAGGAGGAGGAGGAGGAGGAGGAGGAGGAGGAAAGGAGGAGGAGGAGGGGAGAGGAGGAGGAAGAGGGGGAGGAGGGGAGGGAGAAGGAGGGGAGGGGAAGGGGGGAAGAGGAGGAGGGGGGGGAGGAGGGAGGGGGGGGGAGGAGGAGAGAAGAGGAGGAGGGGAGGAGGAGAAAGAGGAGGAGGAGGGGGAGGAGGAGGAGGAGGAGGAGGAGGAGGGGGAAGAGGAGGGGGAGGAGGAGGAGGAGGAGGAGGAGGAGGAGGAGGAGAAAGAGGAGGAGGAGGGGGGAGGAGGAGGAGGAGGAGGAGGAAAGAGGAGGAGGAGGAGGAGAGGAGGGGGGGAGGAGGAGGAGGAGGAGGGGGAAGAGAGGGGGGAGGAGGAAGAGGAGGGGAAGAGGGGGGGAGGAGGAGGGGAGGAGGAGGAAGAGGGAGGAGGAGGAGGGGGAGGGGAGGAGGAGGAGGAAGAGGGAGGAGGAGGAGGGGGAGGAGGAGGAGGAGGGGAAGGGGAGGAGGAGGAAGAGGGAGGAGGAGGAGGAGGAGGAGGGGGAGGAGGAGAGGAGGAGGAGGGGGGAGGAGGGAGGAGAGAGAAGAAGGAAGAAGAGGAGGAGGAGGAGGGGGAAGGGGAGGAGGAGGGGGAGGGAGAGGAGGAGGAAGAGGGAGGAGGAGGAGGAGGAGGAGGAGGGGGAGGAGGAGGGGGAGGAGGAGGAGGAGGAGGAGGGGGGAGGAGGGAGAGGAGGAGAAGGAAGAAGAGGAGGAGGAGGAGGAGGAGAAAGAGGAGGAGGAGGGGGAGGAGAGGAGAGGAGGGAAGAGGGAGGAGGAGGAGGAGGAGGAGGAGGAGGGGGAGGAGGAGGGGGAGGAGGAGGAGGAGGGGGAGGAGGGAGAGGAGGAGAAGGAAGAAGAGGAGGAGGAGGAGGAGGAGAAAAAGGAGGAGGAGGAGGGGGAGGGAGAAGAGGGGGAGGAGGAGAGGGGAGGAGGGGAGGAGGAGGAGGGGAAGGATGGCTTTCCAACGCTCAGCTCAAAGGAGGGAGAGGGAGAGGGGCCCTTGGGTGAGAAGGATGGGGAGCCACCCCTCTAGCAGGTCTCTGCAGGTGGTTCCTGCTCACGCCAGGCCTGGCCCTCCCGGCCCCCAGGGGGCGCCCCCCAGCCAGCGGCGGCCCTGTAGCCGGGACCGGCCCGCGGCGCGCTCACCCTCGCACTCGGCGTCCGCCCAGCGCGTGCACTCGCGCAGCTGGCGCTCGGTGTCCTCGCACACGGTGCAGGGCAGGCACGGGTCCACGTGGTTGGCCTCGTCGGAGTAGGTGCCGTCGGGGCACTCCTCGCACACGGTGTTCTGCTTGTCCTGGCAGGAGAACACGAGGCCCCAGCCCGCCTCGCACACGCGGCACGCCTCGCAGCGGCCCGTGCCCTCGTCCTGGTAGTAGCCGTAGGCGCAGCGGCACACGGCGTCGTCCGCCTCCACGCAGGGCGCCGACATGCTCTGCAGCCCCACGCACTCCGTGCACGGCTTGCAGGGCTCCGTGGCGCTCACCACGTCCGAGAACGTCACGCCTGCGGGCAGAGGGCCCAGAGGTCAGTCGCCTGCCTTTAGGGCAGCTGGAATGCAAGGGCTGCAGGTCCTCGCTCCTCGTCCCGTCGTTCCTCTCTCTCCCCCTCTTCCCCCCCGCCCCCCAGCCTCTGCCAGGGCGCGGACTCCCTGGCTCAGCCTCGCCCCCTGGTGGGTTCCCACCCTCTCTCCCCTCGGGGCCCTGATCCCATGTCTGGGAAAGCTTAGGAGGAAGGGGACCAGGAGGGCTGCTCCAGGCGGGGAAGCCATGGCCCGGGGGCTGGGCAGGGTCACCACACGGTAAATTACAGGTAAATTGTGCAAGTAAATTACTTGGCAAATTCTCTTAGAGAGTTTCCCAGCAAGATTAAGGAGTAATTTATAGGTGGTTCCCACCCGGCTCGCCCCGCAGGCCAGCGCTGGATTGCGAACCCGGCCCAGGCCGGGGCCACCCCGGTGGAGCCTCCTGCCTCAGCTGCCCTTCCACAGGTGGGGGGGGGGCGGTCAGGTGTGGCCCGGATGGGAGTCCCTAGGGTTGGACAGCTTAAGTTTCCACCCACGGAGCTCCCCCATGCTGCCAAAGGGCTTGGCTCTGGAGGGCAGGGATGGGAATCCTGGCAAGCAAGTTCAGGTGCAGCAGGAGGGACTGGAGCTGGGAAGAAAGGAGGACTGGCCTTTGTCGTCCTCTGCCCTTTCCAAGGGCACAGAGGACAGATGTCCAGGCTCACAATAATGGGGGGAGGGGTGCCAGGTCTCCCCCTTCTTGTGCAGAGAAGAGGAGGCCCAGGGCAGAGTCTCTGCACCCCTTCCAGCCCAGGCTGGAGAGCTCGTGCCCATCCGAACCCCGGAGGATGCCTCCTTGCTCCCCGGGGAGGAAGAGCAGGGCGTCAGCAACCCGAGAACCCGGGCAGGTCTGCTCAGGTGTGGAAGCAGAAGCAGAAGCAGAAGCAGAGAGAGCGTCAGACCCCACTGAAGGGAAACCAAGGCCTGTGTGGGGTCTGATCACAACCTTCTCTAAAGGCACAAAAGGCAGCCTGGAGCACTTGGTGGGAGGGGGTGGGGGTGGGAATGAGGGGGGGTAAAGAAGCAAAGAAGAAAGCCAGATCAAAACGCGGGGCGGGGGGTTGGGGGGGAGGGGAGATGAGAACAGAGTCAGTTCTGGCAGAGGGACCCCTGGATTTCTCTTCCTAGGCATCAGGCAGATCTGGATTCAAAACTGCTTCCATCACTTTTCAGCTGTGTGACTCTGGGTGCTTTACTTAACCTCTCTGAGCGTTTTTCTTTCTCTGTAAAACAGGGAACAAGACCTCCACGCACAGGCGGGGGTGAGGAGTAAGTGGGATTCCACTGTAAAGCGCCTGACGCTCCGCAGCGATCTATAAAGGCCGGGCCCCGGTGGGCAGTGATGAGCATGGTGAGCTTCAGCAGCAGGGACAGTCAGACAGCAGAAAGGCCTTCAGAGGCCATCGGCCGAGGCAGGACTTGCTTCCAGTTTAAATAAACAAGAGGCTCCTATCTGGGGGGCATGTGGTGGGGGCCAGGGAGGGGTACAGCCCCCCGAAGGGAAAGGGAGGGCCTGGCTCATGGGAAAATACAGCAAACGAGCCTCACACTCCTGGGAAAGGGTTTTAAGGGGTGGGAAAAATGTGGTCTTTTTGGCAGAGAATGAAGGCCGGGGCTTAATGGGCTTCCCTGTGGAAACGTTTTGAGGATAGAAAGTCCGCTGGGGTCTCCATTCCATAAAGCGGGCTTGTAAAGGCAGCCTGTTAACGCAGCTGCTGAGAGAGGGGGGAGGAGGAAAAGGGGGGGGGGAGGAGGGAGGACAGGAGGAAATGGGAGGGAGGATCCCTGCCACCCCCTCTGAGTGTGCTCCCCTCCCGATCCTCAGAACCGCCCTCCCTGGTTCCTCTACCCCACCCTTCGCTTTCTCGGAAGATGAGTGGGGGCCTCTCCTGGGAGACTTGGGGTCCAGGGAGGAGAGTCTGGGAAATGGGAGAGGTAATCCTGGGAGCTTTCGGGATAGGCAATCGTTGGCCAACCCTTCCCTGGGATGGAAGCCCTGTTAGGCCAGGGCCAGGGCCGGTGGCCAGATGACAGAACACTGCAGGATGTCCAGTCTCCCCACCCAGTCCCAGGCATCCCTCTGCTGGGGCTGGGCTTGCAGGATTCGTAAGCACAGGGAGGAAAACAGTACAAGGCGTTGTGGTTGTCTGAAGGATGGAGAGGTGTGCAGATGTGTTTTTTTGTTTGTTTTGAAATCTATTTTTATCGATTTCAGGAAAGAAGGGAGAGGGAGAGATAGAAACATCAATGGTAAGAATCATTGATGGGCTGCCTCCTGCACGCCCCACACTGGGGATCGAGCCCAGCACCCAGGCAGGTGTCCTGTCTGGGAATCGAACAGGGACCTGCTGGTTCAGTTCTACGCTCACCCACTGAGCCAGGCCGGCTGGGCACGCAGGAGTTGGTAGAGGTGGTGGGGAGGCAGCCAGAGGTAAGACGAGGCTGGCAGGTGGGCTCAGAGGTCCCAGTGCTGTACCTGGTTCCCAGCCTGATATGGAATCATCTGAGTATGAGCGCCAGAGGCCCTCGGGATGGGCCGTGCGGCAAGAGAAAGGCGGTCTGACCTGACGGCAGGGTCAGCAGCAGAGCACGGAGCCCATGGACTGAAGGCAGCAACGGAGGCCGGGGCATCCGCAGGGCTGAGACCTCGGACCCCACAGCACACAGATTCCAGACCCCGTGGCCTCCCTCACCCAATAGGAAGACGGGATTCTCCCCGCTCCCCGAGGAAATCTCAGGTAGGAATGGCCACAGCGCCCCTCTCCCCACTAGGAGCACATCCCTCCAGCATCCCACCCCCTCCCCTGCTGCCTGGGGAAAGCTCTTCATCCTCAGTCAGAGCCGGGGAGCAGCTGGCCTGGGAGGAGGGGCAGCCACACCCTCCCAGGATCCCCCAAGGTCAGTCCGCAGGGCAGCCAGCATTTGATCCTCCGCCCCTCCCCCAAGAACACTGGGGTAAGTGGCAGCCATTGATTTTGCAGCGCCGATGATATTTTTAGCTCGTCTACGCGTCAGCTACTCCTCCCACCTGGCCACTCTCTTCTGCCAGGCTTCTCTGCGCGGGGGCTGGGAAGGGGCTCCCCCCTGGGGTCCCCCCCCCCCCCCGTGAGGTCCCCTCCTTCCTCTGCATACCTCTCTCATCCATTCTCACCTTCCCCTTCCTGCCTCCTATCCTGCGGCAGACCCATGCCTGATGCCCATGCTGTTGTGGGCAGGAGACCCTGCCCTGAGGCAGAGGACTTGTAAGTCCTTCCATTCCTGTCCGCTCTCCCCACCTGCCCGGTACTCACTGTCCAGGCAGGGCTCACACACGGTCTGGTTGGCCCCACACGGCTGGGCCACGCCCTCTCCCAGGTTGCAGGCTCTGCAGCACTCGCCGCCGTGGGTGTACAGGCCGGTGAGGCACGCCTCCTGGGCACCTCCGAAGGACACCTGGGTGGGGGGAGAGCAGCAGGTCAGACCGGCGGCGAGGGAAAGGAGAGGGGGTATCGTCTGAGGCATCCAACGCCCCTCCCCAGAGCCCTCTATTGGAACCACCTGGGCCCGGGTGAGCTCACCAGGGAGGTATGAGGCACATCAAAGCTGGCCGGAAGGCGGGCAGCGGGGGGCACCGCACCCCTGCAGGCTGCTGGGGGCGGGGTTGGGGTGAGGTCAGAGCCTCCCAGGCTGACCCCGGCACAATTCATCTCGGGGTCACAGCAGCTCTTGGCACCTCAAGGACACACACCCCCAAAGCTGGCCGGAAGGCGGGCAGCAGGGGGCACCGCACCCCTGCAGGCTGCTGGGGGCGGGGTTGGGGTGAGGTCAGAGCCTCCCAGGCTAACCCTGGCACAATTCATCTCGGGGTCACAGCAGCTCTTGGCACCTCAAGGACACACACCCCACGGAGGAGGCGGCTGAGGCCCAGGGGAGGGCCTTCAGGTGGCAGCTCCCACAGGGCGTTCAGCCAAGGAGGCAACCGGCCACTGAAATGTGGTCCAAATGCTACTCGCTGAGCTGCACACCTGCAGGCGGCATCTGCCAGGGGGGGAGCCTTTTCCTAAGGAAGGCTGGCGGGGCCCTCCCTGCCCCGTCCTCCATTCTGCCATCCGGCACCTTCTCTGTCCGGCAGGAGGCATCTGTGCCCAAGAGCAGGAGGCCGAGGGGTGGGGTCTGGGTTCACATCCTGGTTCTGCCTTGGGAGCTCCGACCTGCGCGGCTCTCCCTCTCCGAGTCCCCATCCCTCTGCAGGGGCAGCGATGGCAGCCGCTCGGGGCCGGGCCAGAGAGTGGCGCCAAGATGTGAGGAGGGGTCGCCTGCTATCAATGATGAGGAAGTGGCGGCTGTCATCGCCGGCAGCCAGCGCCACGCGGGTTTGATTTCCAGTCGCCCGCCCGCCCCGCTCCCCGCCCCCCTGCAGCCAGCGGGACCGGCTCTGCAGCCGGGGAAAGGGGAGCCGGATTCCTGCCGCCCAGGCATCTTTGCTCGTGGATGGAACGATTTAGCACCAGAGTCCCCGGAGGGAGGGGCTGCTGGCAGCTTGCTTTATATTTCTGTTCCTTAAAAAAAAAAAAAAATACTTCGTGTCTAATAAAACTCCCAAGCCGGTCTCCCCGGCCCCAGACCTCGCAGCTCCCCCTGGATATGGACAGGAAGTGCGGGCTCTCAGGTCGTGGGAGCAGAGGGAGCCCTCAAGGTCCTTTCGGACATTTCTCCGCTTTCTCACTGACCAGGTCATAGCCAAGATCACCCCCCTCCTGACCCTAACCGGTTTGGCTCAGTGGATAGAGCGTCGGCCTGCGGACTGAAGGGTCTCAAGTTCGATTCCAGTCAAGGGCGTGTACCTTGGTTGCAGGCACATCCCCAGTAGGGGGTGTGCAGGAGGCAGCTGATCGATGTTTCTCTCTCATAGGTGTATCTAACTCTCTATCCCTCTCCCTTCCTCTCTGTTACACACACACACACACACACACACAAAACAAAACAAAACACTCCCCTCCCCCCAGTCCTTTAAGATACCCTGAGATCTCACCAGGGTTAGGTGGAGGCTGGGGCGTGGACAGATGGGATGGGTCTAGGAGGCACCTGTGGTCCTCCAGAGACCAGCAGGGAGGGTGCTGGCAGCACAGGAGGGCGACCTCGGGTGTCGCCACCCTCTCCTCCCAGGTGGCAGGGACACAGCCCCGGGAACATCTGCAGACCAGAAGTCTTGGGGGCAGGGGGAGCCCCAGATACAGGCTTTCCCCAGGAGGCACGTGAGATTATAGAAGAGTCTGTTTGGATTTCTTTTCATCCTTTCGGCTCCGTTTAAATATTACTTCCTCAAGGAAGTGGGCCAGTGTCCCCCCTCCCCCGCCCCCCGCCCCCCGATCAGGCGGGCCTGCGCATTCTCCCTGTGGACTACTGGTGTCAGCTCTGACACTTCCCACGATCCCCCACTAGACTGTCAACTCCCTGAGGGCCGGGCCGGGTCCCAGAGCCTGACAGGGACCCTGGCACTGCACAGGGACCTCACTGAACTAGAGGCGGGATGGCTTCTGGATGGCCGAGTTTCCCGACAGCGAAAGCACTGCCGCTCCCATCACCCCATGGTTTCCGTGTTCCCCAGAATGGCCGCACCTTTCCCGGACTGGAACGTATCTCCATGGTCTCCCCAGGACTCAGTGTTCACACCAGTGATCATTCCGGGCTGCCGTGCAGGGAAGCCCTGGTGTTCTTTATCCCAAATTACTACCACATGACTGTCTCTTTCAGTTCTCCTGTCAGCTTGTTATTGTAAAATGCCCTTTCTGCCCTGACCGGTTTGGCTGAGTGGATAAGAGCGTCGGCCTGCGGACTGAAGGGTCCCAGGTTCGATTCCGGTCAAGGGCATGTACCTTGGTTGCGGGCCCATCCCCAGTAGGGGGTGTGCAGGAGGCAGCTGATCGATGTTTCTCTCTCATGGATATTTCTAACTTGCTAGCCCTCTCCCTTCCATTTTGTAAAAATATCAATAAAATATATTTAAAAATATAAAAAAGTACCTTTTCTGTCTCCTCCCTTCCTGCCGAGATATCAGTGGGCAACTCTTGCTGCTACCAGAGTGTGACCTGCGTGGCCCCTCCCGCACCATCCTACCCTCCTAGGTCTGGGGTCTGAGGAATATGGGGTCTGAGGAACCGTGGCAGTAGCCTTGGCAGGCAGGTGTCTGAAATGAGTGTCAGGAGGCTAACCGGGAGGGATAGTTCTCGGAGTAGACAGTGTGAGCTAGCTGCACTGCCTTCGTCCTCAGCGGCCTCTGTGGCTCCGTATCCCTGCTCATCGCTTAGCGCTAGGCGACCTGGGGCCAGTCTTGGATTTCTCTGTGCCTCAGTGTCTTCTGCATTAGGTCATTGTGATCAGGCCTGCCGCACAGGGTTGCTGGAAGCATGACATGAATAAGATGTTCGTACGCTTGGGGAACTCTCTTTTCCAAGATCTTTCTTCTTTTTATTTCTTCATTGGCAAGTGATTTTATTTATTTTTAATTACATTTATTGGGACAGCAGTGGTTAATAAGATCCTATAGGTTTCTTTAAAAAAATTTTTTAATTGATTTCAGAGAGGGAGAAGGAGAGAGAGATAGAACCATTAATGGTTAGAGAGAATCATTGATTGGCTGCCCCCAGCACACCCCTGACTGGAGATCGAGCCCGTACCAGGATTGGAACTGTGACCTCCAGCATTCAACCACTGAGCCATGCCGCCTGGGTAAGATCATACAGGTTTTAAGTGTATGTGTCTATGATACGCCATCTGTATATTGCACAATAGTCATCAAAGGGGCAGCCCACAACCAAGATACATCTCCTTTTTGTCCGAGCTGCTCTTCCTGCCCTTTCTCCTCTCCCAAGTCTTGCATTTGGAATTGAGTCCATGTAATTAGTGACCATGTATTTCCCGTTCTTGTTTTCTGTTCCCTATTTCAAAACAGCCTAGATCTGCTCCTTACTAGTACATTATTTTGAGTAAATTCTCAATCTTTCCGAGCCTCAGAGCTTCCCTCTTCCCCACCCCCACCCCCGGTCACACTGGGCACTAGTATCTGCTGCTCGGAGTTGCTGTGAAAATGAAATGAAATCATTTATGCAAATCTGCCTGGTGGACAGTAGGAGTTAATTAACTGTCAGGTATCAGAGAAGCATCTTGTCTTGGGGAGAGCAAGCTGCTGAGCCTGGGTGGGAGGTGGTGGGAGGGGAGCATTACCCACCCCCCAAAAGAGGAAACCACCTAAGAATCGGGGGCAAGTCTTCGCTACCAGGGAGTCTGAGGGCGGCATGGGGGCCAAAGGAGAATGGGTAATTGCTCTTCTTAAAGTTAAGTAATTCAACAACTATGCACTGAGCATTGAAATAAGAGTTTCCGAGGAGACATGGTCCCTGATTCTGTGGGGAACCACAGTCCCAGGGGAGAGAAGAAATGTTACCCAAACAGCGACCCTAGAAGCCAAGATGCTGAGGGGGAAAGACTTGAGGGATTGCCTTCATCTCCTCTCTGACAGATGGGGAAACTGAGGCCCACAGAGTGCCCTGCTACGTGGCATGATGCTTGGCCCCAGCCACACCTTCTGTTGGTTCAAGCCAGGGCAATCTTGGGAAGCCGGGAGGGATGACTAGGATCCAGGCTAATTGTTCCAAAATGACCAATTTACCAAAATGATAGATGCAGTTGCCTGAAATTTACATTATTACATTTATTCATTTCCCGTCTGGATGATTTCATCCCATTAAAAAAAATGTTTGCAATCTTCTTTTTATTTATTTTGTTTTTTCCATTTCAAGGCTTTCAAGAAACTGAAAGGTGGAAGTACTCTCAGATAAACTGATTTAAGAATCTAGAAAATGGCCCAGCCAGTTTGGCGCAATGGATAGAGCGCAGGTTAGCAGACTGGAGGGTCCCAAGTTCGATTTGGGCCAAGGGCACATGCCCGGGTTGTGGGCTCGATCCCCAGTAGGGGGCGTGCAGGAGCAGCTGATCATGGTTCTCTTATCATTGATGTTTCTCTTTATTCCTCTCCCTTCCTCTCTGAAATCAATAAAGAAATATATATATTTTAAAATAATCTAAAAAGTGTGTTTTAATTGGACAAAATTGAAAACACACCAGAAATAGTTGGAAAAATGGACTACGAACACTTCAGTGTTGAATCCGTTCACAACAGCTTCAGCAAAGGGTTCTTCAGCCAGCCATGGGCTTGAAGAGTTTTCAAATATGGGGAGGGGCCCTAACCGGTTTGGCTCAGTGGATAGCGCGTCAGTCTGGGGACTGAAGGGTTTGATTCTGGTCAAGGGCATGTACCTTGGTTGGGGGGCACATCCCCAGTAGGGGGTGTGCAGGAGGCAGCTGATCGATGTTTCTAACTCTCTATCCCTTTTCCTTCCTCTCTGTAAAAAATCAATTAAAAATATATTCAAGTATGGGGAGAGTCTTTTGAGCTCGCTGCAACCCGCGGGGGGCGGGGGGTGGGAGAGGGGCACGATCTCCCCTCCCCTTTGGATAGAGCTGAGTTTGGGTCGGGGAGCAGAGCATTTTCCTGAGGAGGATGCTGCGTGGGCACAGGACACCGATGCAACCTCCAGGGCTAGTCGTGATTCGGTGCCACTCACGCCCTCCGGGATCCAGAGGGGGGAGGGGCTGGCATAGGGAGGACAGAGGGAGCTCCAAGCCACGCCTCCTCCTCGGTTCCACAGCCTCCGCCGCTAACTAACCCGGAGCCTGGTTTCGTGCCTGGAAGTCTGGGAGGCTCAGCCCCATCCACTGCAAAACGGGCATAACTAGGTTTACGCTGATGGGGCCTTAGGAGGGTCAAACAATGCCAGAGATATTACCCGGGCAGTGCGTGGCATATAGTAGGCTTTCAACCAATTTTATTATTTCCTCTCCTCCCCACCCCACCCCGCCTCCCCAGGGAAGAGTCTATGCCGGTGAGCGGGCCGGGATGGTACAGCGGGTGGGAACCTCTTCTCCCCGGCCCCGCCCGGCCGCCCGCGTCCTCCTGTTCGCTGCCCTCGCTGCCTCCCTATCAGGCGCATTAGGGGCGGCGGCTCCGGTTACAGACGCCTGGATGACAAATGCCTCCATTACCGCCCGGACCCGCCGGGACGCGCTCCGGTTTCAGCGCTGCCTGGCCCCGCAGGAGCCCGGGGCGCGGAGCCGCCCGCGGAGCCGCGGCCGCCGGAGGCCGGACCAGCCCCAGGCCCTCCACGCCCAGCTCTCCGCCTCCTTCCTCCGGGGACACTCCCTCCGGTGCGCCCCTCCGGGATCCACCTGCTACCGTCCCCCCAGTTCCCCTCGCGCCCCCCTCCCGGGGAGAAGCCCCGCGGCGTTTGTCGGCAGGGGCCCCCGCCCACGCCCACACCCTCGGACGCAGCCACAGGTACCCACCGAAGAAGGTCTCTGTCCCCCAGCCTGACTCCCGCCGCTGGCCCGGCTCGGGATGGGGTCCGCCCGCCCCGCCGCCGAGAATCCAGCTCCCCCCGCGCCCCCCGGGCGCCGGCTGCCCCTCCGAAGGTACGGGCGGCGCAGGCTGGGGGTCAGGGCGCCGGCACAACCCGCGGGTGGGACCCTAGCCAAGTGGCTTAAACTCCCAGAGCCCCCGTCTCCGTGTCGGCAGAAGGGGGACGTGGGGCGCGATGCCCAGAGGAGGGGTGAAGAGGTCAGGAAGAGGGAGGATACCTCCTCCAGGGCCAAACCTCCCGGGGCGCCCCGCTCCTGGCCGCGCACCCGTCACCCATTCTGAGTGTTTTGTCTGAACTACCGGGCGGACTTGGGTGCCTAAGAGGACCCGCAGCCCTTCGCCCCCACGGAATCCGGGGCGTCCGGCACCTCTGTCTCATTCAGTGCTCGGCGTCTTCACCCCAAAGTCGGGCCGCCCGGGCCGGGCGCAATCCCCAGCCGCCCGGGCGCTGAGCAGAGGGACCCGCGGGCGCGGCGCTCCGGCCGCTTAACTTAATGGAGGGCGGGGGGGGGGGGGGGGTGCGCAGCCCCAGCGGCGCCCACAGCTGCGGAGGGCGCACCCCTCGCCCCGCAGCGCCCCCTGGGGGCCGCCTCCGCCTGCGCGACCCCAGGCTGCGCGCTGCCGGGACCTTCCCTCCCGGCGCCCGGCGCTCTGCTCTGCACCCGAGACGGGGCGGCCGCTCCATCCCTCCCCGCCTGCCGCGCTCCTTCAAACCCGGGGCGAAGCGCTCCTTCAAACCCGTGGCCGGGGAGAGGGTCCGTCCCGGCGAGGTGGGCGCTCCCTCCCCAGCCTCCGGCCCCCGCGCCGTCACCCGCCCGGGCGAGGCCGCGAGAGAGCGCGCGACGGGAGCGGGCACCGTCCCCTCCTCGGCTCCTCTCCACCACGCCACGGCCCCTCCGCGGACCCGCAGGGTCCGGACCCCCTTAGGGGCCGCTCTCCCTCTTCCGTCCTCCTTCCTTTTACTCCCATCTCCCTCTCTCCCTCGCCGCCGTCCCTTTCTGCCCTACCTAGCCCACTTCTCTCTCTTCCACCGACGACCCCCACCCCCCGGAGCGATGCCTCCCGCGCCCCTCCCCCCCATTGTCTGGCCAGTCCTCATTGTCCGCTGCCCGGTGGGTCCCCTCGGTCGTTCCGCTTCCTCCCCATTGTTCCAGCCCCTCCTCGCATCCCTAGTCCCCGTGGCGGCATCCCTCGTCCTTCTCCAGCCTGGGTTCTGTCCCAGACCCCCCAGAAGACAAAATGCTGGGAGGGGGTGCGGGGAGAGTCGCCTTGAGGTGCTGGCATTCAAGCGCCCTCCCCCAAAGAGCCCCGGGCTCTGGGAACCGCGGGACACTCCTCGGAGACCCTCCCAGCGCCTCGCACCACCCGCCCCGGTACCCGAGCTCCCGCATCCATCCGGGCGCGCCTCCGCCCCGGACCTCCGGGTCTCCTCTGCGCCCTGAGGACCCGGACGCGCCTCCGTGGGCCCGGGCATCGGAGCTCCCCTCCCGCCCTCCATCCCAGCATCGGGGAGCCCAGCGCTCGGTTCTGTGTTCCCTCGGGGAAACCCGGACCCCCAGGGCTCCGGTCCCGGGAAGGAGAGCGGGCTCCCCGCCGGCGGCACTCACCCCCAGCAGCAGCAGCAGCAGGCGCGGCCGGTCCATGGCGCAGCCGGCGGCACCTGCCCCCATCGTCCGCCTCCCGCGGCCGCGCCGGCTTCCAGTCAGTCCGCCCTGCGCGCTGCGGACCGAGAGGGCTCGCCGCGCTCCGCACCCGCCCCCCGGCGCTGGCGGAGGCTCCGCTCCCTCTGGCTGCGGGCGGGAGGGGCCGGAGAAGCCAGTGCGGCGGCCCCGCCTCCGCCCCGCCCCGCCCGCCCGCCCCCGGAACCGTGCCCGCCTGCTCGCCGCCTCCGGGAGGGGAGCGCAGGGGAGGAGAGGGTGTGCGGCGAGCTGCGGCCGGTTCCCATCTCCCTGGCCTTCAGAGCCGCGGCACCCGGAGCGCCAGCCCGCCCGCCCGAGGGCACGTCTGTCCGGATACTGTGCGCCCTGGGCCAGGGCGGCTCCCGTTCCCCTCCGGCTGCGCCCACCCGGGGACTCACTGTCTTACCCATCTTCCTCTGCCCTCCATCCCCAGCGTCTGGCTCCAGCTTCTTCCTGGTGTGCTGCTCTCTGCCCAGCCTTCCTGGTGTGATGCCCCCTGCCCGCCCTGCCCTTCCTCCCTCTGCCCCTTCCCAGTGCAAAGGCCTGCGGGAGGGGAAGGGAAGAGTAGCAGGTGGCTACCTGAATGACCCGGAGGGGGGGCATTCCAGGGGAGTCCATCCCGAAATCATTCTCAAATGATGGGTTTGAAGGGATCACACGTGTGCACACATGACACAGGAAGAGACAGTCTCAAGCTCACATACATCTACTTATGTACCACATATGCCCAGACCATCCTCATGCACTCATGTAGACCTGCACGTCCTACATATGTGTGTGCACCTCCACACTCACGCACACACACACACACACACTCATTGCACGTGTGGTCATAACAAACACGCATGCTCACCTACATACTCACACAGTCATGTGTGCATGTACAGTCACCTTCACACAAGCCCCCTGTGTATAGTCTCTTGCACAAATTCACACACACACACACACACACTTACATCCATATACAAACACACAAGTGTATCTCAGCCATATACCTGTACTAGGCCAAAGGTGTCCATTAGCTGATGGCTGTGGTTTCTTGTTGGAACACCTGGTGCACAGTACATGCTCAGTAAAGCCAGTAGAAGAGAATAAATGGAAAAGCAGTCGGAGGCACTCACATCCAAGTACACATCCATGTGCTGTGTTATCATCCCACACTCACTGTGTCCCAGAAGCCTTGACAGGTCCAAGTCATAGGCTCAGCAACCCAGGGAACGTGCCCGCATCTATTGATGGGAAGTCCCCCACCACCACCTTGATGCTCGCCTTTGCCCATCCCCACCCCCACTTTCTTGATCCCCAGATATGAAGACCCAGTAGCATGTGAAGGGGGCATGTCTACAAAGTCCATGCCAGCGCCTTGATCTTGAGCATCTGTGTTTGTGTGTGGGTGTAAGTGTGTGTGTGTGTGTGTGTGTGTGTGTGTGTGTGTACCTCAGTTTTGGCTTCGGGGGAAAAAATATTGCTAATCTCCCATGATACTGGAAGGAAGGAGAGATCAGTGCACTTGTGAAGAGGACATGCTGGCAGTTGGTAGGTGATTTCCCAGATCAGCTGCAGATCGTTCATTCATTCAGCGGGGAATTTTTAGCCCCGTGAATTTCTTTTTTTAGAACATATTTTATTGTGTGTGTGTGTGTGTGTGTGTGTGTGTGTGTGTGTTTTAGAGAGGAAGGGAAAGGGAGAGGGAGTTAGAAACATCAATGAGAGAGAAACATCTATTAGCTGCCTCCTGCACACTCCCCACTGGGGATGTGCCTGCAACCAAGGTAGTATATGCCCTTGACCGGAATCGAACCTGGTACCCCTGAGTCCGCAGGCCTACGCTCTATCCACTGAGCGAAACTGGTCAGAGCTGCCCCGTGAATTTCTTTCCTGGGCAACAACTAAGCTGGGGGCAGACCCAGGAAGGAGAGGTAGACATTGTGCACTGCTGGCTGTGGATGAGCCAGCACCTGGCTGGCTGGCGGAAGAGGCCAGGAAGCCAGTCCATCTTCAGGACAGGGACCCGCCTCTGCGCTGCTTCCTCTCCCCTCGGCTTTAATGGCCCCTCCTTCCCTTTCAGCTGAGTTCGTGGAAGGCAGGAAGGGGCAACATTAGCCCTAACAGCAGCACTGAGCTGCTTACTACCGTGGGTGTACATGGTGTGGCATTAATTTAAATACTCCTGTTATTAATTTATGATCCCAGTTACTATTATTGCCAAGGTTATCCATCTCGACACAATCTAATATGACCCACCCTACCATGGCTGAGCCTGGGTTATTAATAATTTCCACGGTCTTGATCATTTAAGGCTTACTCAAACAATCACAAGCAGCCATTGTTACTATTATTAGCAGGGTTTCTATGAGGAAGCCCACACACAAGGCCACGGGGAAATGCTGAGTGCTGGCGGGGAGGGTGGCTCTGCAGAGAGCAGAGAACGTGAGGAAAGAGCACTGAACGGAGAGTCAGACCAGCCTGTCTATAAATGCCTACACAGCTCCCCCACCCCCCGCCCCTGCATGGCTGACTCCCGGGTGGTTTCAGGCAGGTTAAGTCATCTCTGCCTCTGTTTCCTCATCTATAAAATGGGAATTAAAAAAAAGATCCTGCCGAAACCGGTTTGGATAGAGCTTCGGCCTGCATACTGAGGGGTCTCGTGTTTGATTCCGGTCAAGGGCACATGCCTGTGTTTCAAGCTTGATCCCCAATGGGGGATGTGCAGGAGGCAGCTGATCGGTGATTCTCACCATTGATGTTTCTATCTCTCCCTCTCCCTTCCTCCCTGAAATCAATAAAAATATATTAATTTTAAAAAAGATCCTATCACGAATGAGCGTGGTGAATAACAAATGAGGTGACAGTGTTCATCACAGAGACTCCGCCCCCTTTGACGCATTCAACACATGTTTATTGAGCACACAATATAGGGCACACACTGTTCTAGGCACTGGGTCACAGCGGTGACAACAGCAGCTGCTCGCGAGGAGCTGATGTTCTGGTGTGTTTAGGTATTTGATGTGTTTGGATTATTTTAGGATGTGACACCATGGCTTGACCATTCTGTAGATGGCACAGCTGTGATCAGAATGCTCCTCTGCTGGGACCACCACCATGACCACAATCACCACCACTGTTACTACCATCACAGCCACCTACACCAAAACCAGCACCACCATGAACACTGTCACCATGACGCCAGCATCGACACCGGCAACACCACAGCTTCGCTGCCATCGCTCCCACTCCCACAATCTTCCCCATCACTGCCATGACTGCCACACCATCGTCTCCACCATCCTCATCATCCTCACAGCTGCCAGGGTCACGGCCACCACCACTGCCTGCCCCCCTGCATCTGCACCATCACAAGCAGCGGGGATTCCTGCTCCTAATGGATCCATCCCTTTTCCTTGGAGCAATATCAGAGGCCCTACGGAGCCTCTGCCTGCTTGATCTCAATTCCCTAAGAGTCACAACCCTGGGCCTCAAACATGAGTGTCCTTCAGAAATTTCTCCCCAGCCCGGCCAGTGTGGCTCAGTAGTTGAGCGTCAACCCATGAACCAGGAGGTCACGGTTCCATTCCCGTCAGGGCACATGTCTTCGTTGCAGGCTCTATCCCCAGTAGGGGGCATGCAGGAGACAGCCAATCAATGATTCTCTCTCATCATTGATGTTTCTATCTCTCCTTCATCCATCCACTCTGAAATCAATTATATATATATGTATATGTATATATATGTATATATGTATATATGTATATGTATATATATGTATATATGTATATATATTAATATTCAAAAAAAATTTCTCCCTGACCCAGCCCCCTTGCCTCTAATCCTTAGCACTTGCGGTAGGGTGGGCATAGGAGTGGGCTCCGGAGCTGACGGGCAATAGGATCAGACAGGCAGCATCAAGGGGGCAGCTGTTTTCGTGGGAGGGCCCCCAGGACCATATCCCATGACAGAGTTGCACAAATAGAGGGCCCCCCACCACCCATACACCAAGGCTCCCAGAGCCTGACAGTGACCCTAAGGGGAAAGGTGGAGAAAACCATGGCCGTTCCACGTGGAGCTGGGAATGGGAGTGGTGAGTCGAGTTGCACTGTCAGGAGTTGAGATGGGTCTGCCCCTCCCCTGTTCATGTCCCCACCCCTTTGCCACGCACTTCCAGGAAGGCCAGCTCCTTACACACACTCCCTGTTCTCCCGTCTCATGGGGATCTCTCACTGCACGGCTCACGCCTCCCTGGTCCATCCCCAGGGAGCCAGCCTGCAGCCCAACCCACTTCCGAGCAGAAATGGGACGGCAGAGATGAAAACTCACATTTCTGGAGACGTCCTATGGGCTGGGAGAGTCACACAATTATCTCCCTTAATCCCGCTGCCATGAAGCAGGTGCTGGGATCGCCATTTCACAGACTGAGGCTTAAAGAAGTGAAGCCACTTGCCCAGGAACCCCCGGAAGGAAGCAGGGGTACCCCAACTGGCCACCAGATCGCACAGGGCCCTCCACATGTCTGTTCACCCCTCCTCTCTGTTCCAGGCACCCCCCACCCCAGCCTTCACCCCAATGCGTTTGGGGGGATAGACCGGCATGTCAGAGGGGCAGGCAGCACTCTGCCCTTCGCTGTCACCCCCTCCCCCGTGCCCCCGTGCACTGCAGACTCTGTGCGTGGGGGGCCCAGGCAGGGCGGGCAGAGGCAGAGGTGTGATTCGAAGCTCTGTTAGCGAGTGCTCGCTTTTCCTGCCCTGGGGAGAACCGCTTCCCCTACCGCCAGTCTCAGTGTCCATCCAGAGAAAGGGTGAAGGGAGGTGAACAAGGAGACAACAATTTCCGAAGGGGAGGGAGGGGAGGGCAGGGGCTGGGCCTCCCCCAGCTGCATCCCATCTGCCCTGGGCAGGCGGCCAGGCAAGGTAAGTGAAACCTGCTGCCCCCCATTAGGAGCTGGCTCGGTGGCTTTGAAGCGTGATGCAGTGATTACATCGGAGCTGACTCCTCCTGAGCCGCAGGGGGCGGGCGGGAGGCAGGGGCTGGACCAGTGAGGGGGGCAGGGGGGGCCGGGGGGGAGGGGGGGGTCCGTGCGGTTTGGTTCTGGAGCTGCATGAGTGCTGAGAGGGG